AACGCACTCTTCATAGTGCTGTTATTCAGTGAGTCTCAGTGAGCGCCAGCAGTTGTCACCGGGGTCATTAGCAGGAAACGTGAGAACATCCAGCTGTGCCCAGTGTCCTGGGATCACCGTGCAAGGACGTCATTTCTGAGGATCTCATGCTCAAGCACCCAAGGGTGTCACACAGGTGCTAGAAGTGTGTGTTGGGCCCAGGGCAAGATTTAGAGGTGTAATGGGAGTCTGGGAACCCCCAAGGACTCAGATCACCTCTTGCTGCGCTCTCCTCCCCAAAATCTAATCGATGCAGTTATAACTGAATCTGAGAGTTTGTAACTTAGAGTACAGGTTGGATGTGCATTATGAAGCTGGACAGGAGAGAGGTGAGCTCTGTGCATGGCCAGCCTGGCCGGCTTCCTGGAAGGGTCAGGCTGTGAAGGTCAGGGAGGAGGGCGTATTCCAAAGCGTGCAGCTGCAGAGCAGATGCTGCAGTCAGTGAAGCCGGTGACACTGTTGGCGGGACATAGCCAGGTTCACTGCGGGGACACAGGAGGGCAGCCGGGCAGCCCGTGTGCGCTCAGCAGGGATGTCAGGACGGGATCCTGCTGGGACTCTGAGGGCTGTTACGATTGGATTGAAAACATTGTTCCCTGCTGAAGGGCTTTTCTGGCCTTCCTGAGATTCACCCATGGGGAAGGTCGTAAGTCTGACATTGTTATTGGGAGGAGACGGAAGCAGGAGGAAGGGCCCTGGGTGAGGGGACTGGATCATGAGGGGCGTGGCCTTGGGAACTCTGCCTTCCTCTCTGGCTCTGTCTGCCTGCCTCCTGGCTGGGTGAGGTGAGCAGCTCTCCTCCCTCACCAGAGGCCTCCAGTCAGGGGACTGTGGACAGAAACGGTGGCTCAAAATACCCTTTCCCCTTTGAAGTTCTCTTTCTCAGGTATTCAGTCACTGTTGCAAAGCTTTCAGGCAAAAGGTGATGAGTGGGAGAGGCCCACGGTGTGGGTCACAGCCTCCCTAAACTTCCCCTCTCACAGCTAAAAACAGTAAACATGCAAAGTCTCTCACTGTGTAGCACATGAAAGCGACCCCATTATTTCCTTCACAACCAACACCTGTTAATCACAGAAAATGAGGCTTCCAGAAGTTTCTTCCCATTCCCTCTCAGGAAGTTGTCTGTCCCTCTCTGCCTGCTGGATGAGTAGCACCTGTGACAGCAAAGACGTCGCACTGTGCCAGACCCCGTGCAGGTCTCAGATGGCTGAGACCTCCCTGCAGTCCCTGGGGTTCATCAGGTGCACCGGTGAAGGGGGCTGGCCAGGACAGCGGGTTACATGCTCTGCGCCCAGCATCTCGGGTCTCCTCCAAACCCGATTCCAACAATAATTCTAACGTGCTTTTGGGGGAATGCGATTGAATCAAGTTTCACCTGAAAATACACATCTATGAAACTCAACAGGCAGATTTTGAGAATTAAGAGAAGTGTGGAAAGATTTGCCTCTGTAGATGTTAAATATGTCACAGAACTATGGTACTGCTGTGTACACAGCTGCTGTAGGAAGGCGGAGGGCAGTGGGACGAGCGGGGAACCTGCACCTGCGTATTGTGACAAGATGGTGCCTTAAGTGACCGACAAAGCAAACATTCATGAATCTGGGGCAAACAGATGGGTCTTTTTGAGGAAAAATAAAATAATGAGATTAAAATTAAATAGCACAATTTGTAAAAAGTAAAACTGGGGCGAGAAGAAAAGCATGGGTTTGAGTCCACAAATACTTGGAAACTTTACGTTTCAAAACAGTGCAAGAAAGATAAATGAGGAACTTGTGAAAATTTATAGTATGCGAAAGAAACAAAAGATTAATGTCTTTCATATGTAAAGGGAATGTGTTAATTAATGAGGGAAAGCAATCCTCCATAGGTAGCATCTACAATATGAGAATTTCACACATAGAAGATTTTACAAGGAGGCCTGGGGATTTAGCCCAGTGGTGCCACCTCCTGCCTTTCAAGTGCAAGGTCCCGAGTTCTATCCCTGGTACCAAAACACCCCAAAAAACAAAAACAAAAAATGCCCAAAACAACAACAACAAAAGGATTTTACAAGGTGCCCTGGAAGCTCCGCAGAGGGAAGACATAGCTGTTGGCAAAATCCTGTAGCTTTGAGTTGAAGTCAGAGGACTCAGGTGTGCAAGCAGTGTCATATTACTGCTCTGGCTTCTCTGTGGCCATCAAGCATTGCCCCAGCCCACTTCCCAGATGTGCTCCCCACCTGCTCTGAGGGGCCCCACTCAGGACTGTCTTGTGGTGCCACCGGGACCTTGGTTTTCCTCATCCTTTTGGTTTTGCACAGGTTGCTCTCTTCTTACTTGTGCTGTGGACAACTCATAAATGTGCTGCAAGACCCCGAAAGGCTCTCCACCTCTGATTTTGTAGCTCCCTGAGTGAGTTGGTTGCCTTGCACGCCATGGAGCCACCTGCTAAGCCTTGTCACTCCGTGGCAGTGAGGTTGTTCCTCTGGATGTCCCTTAATGTGTGTGTGTTGACATCACAAGGGCAGTTCCGAGCTGGACAAACCTTAAAGGTGATCTAGTCCCACTTCCTCCTTCAGAGTAAAATTCTGTGAACTGGCCAAGGTCCTGACTCTCAGAGCCACCCTGAGGGAGGGACTCCTTCCTGCTGTGTGTGCTTTTTTCTCTAACCGAGTCAGTCACTGAATTGGTGAGTTAGTACAGATTGTCGGGAAGTATGATTGTCCTTACCTGTGATCACCCCTGAGTGCTCACTTTTCCTAGGTCTGTCAGCTGTGGGATGGAAGTTTGTGCACTTGGGCAAAGGGACAAGGACCAGCAAGCCACTGATGTCCTCTGCACCTTGGAATTTCATCTCAAAGCAAAGGATTTCAACAAAATTTCTCCCAAAATATCTTCCAGGAAAACGATTTTGTATGGTTTCCCATTACCTTCAAACTGTGGTCTGGGCCTTGGAGGGTAGTGGCCAGGATTTAATGGATGCCCACGGTGGACCTTTGACATCTTCTTTGTACCCATCCACATACAGAAAAGCTGGAAGAGTAAAATAGCATTCCTGCCACCAGAGAGAACCCTAGCTAAGATGTTAGCTTCTCGCCTCTGCAAGGCTGTGAAAATACTATTACATAACTGAAGCCAAACTCTATAAACAATTCTTCAGCATGTCTTTGCAACTTGCTATTGGATTCTCAGCCTCTAAGTCTCCCTTTTGAAAGGCCTTTTTGTCTAGCATCACTCTTCCTAAATGCAGCGATAGAATTCATCAGCGGCATCTGCTCCAGCTACTGTGTGATTAAAGGGGTGGCGATCACGGATGATTCTCAGGAGACAGAAGGAAAGTTAGTGAGACTTGTGGGGGTGGGAATTGGGGCTAGCCACCTCTTTTTCTTTATTCCCAAGGCAGTGCCATGTAAGGTAAATGTGCTCTTTGGAAACGTGCTTTCAGTGGGTTGTGGTGGGATCAGGCTGCAGCATTTTGTGGGACTCTCAGAGCTGCGGTTAACTTAGGCTGATCCTCGTGCTCCAAACGCGTTCAATTCCAGTGCTCACTGCTGCAGTGGTGGCCCCGAAGAAGACCCGTGGGCCACGGTGTACTCCCATCCCCGGCGTCCCACACACCCCTTTTGTCACAGCATCGCTGTCTCTTAAGCATCCCCTTAGTCTCTGCCCTTCCCTCTGGCCTAACAGTAGCTGTAGCTCACACGTACTGAGCGATCTCAGTGTGCTTTGCAGTGTCACACTGATGCTGCGTGTGCGTGCGCGTGTGTGTGTGTGAGATCACACAGTCTCGGTGCTGCCTCGTCACCCTTCTGCCTTCCTTCTCTCTGGATTTGCTGACCTGGACATTGCACACAAGTGTGCAGCTTTTGAAGGGACTGTCTTCTTCGGCTTACCGTTGTGTTTTGGGTCCCTCCCTGGTGCAGCTCACGTCAGATCACCCTTCCTTCATTAGCTGAGTGTATTCTGTGTGCCATGGTGTGGCTATACAGCCTTTTGTCATTTATTTATCAGGATGCTCCCCGCTATCAGCAATTATGAATGGTGCTACTGTGAACCTTTGGGTGCAAGTTTTGTGGGAACACCTGCTTTTGATCCTTTTCCATGCATACTCAGAAATGAAGTTTAGGGTGCGTGGTAATTTGGTTTGTAACGCTCAGGAACCACAAGGGCTGCTTTTGTCCTTGTCTTGCAGGCAAGGCACCTGCAGCTCAGAGAGGGGGAGACCAGCGTCCTGCAGCATGGTTGGGGCACAGCTGGACCCATCTAGGTCTCAGCGGGGGTTGGAGCCCTAGGTCTTCACCGCCACTTCCTGTTGTGCCACAGCCGTGTTTCTCACCCACCATTTCTTACCCTCTGCACACTGAGGCCGTGCAGCAGTCAGAGTCGACCCTGGCTGATCTGGCTATGTGTCTTCCTGCTTGAAATGCCATGCCCTCCTCCCATGGCCTTGGGATGGTGTGGCGAATCCCAGACCTGCTCTCAAAGGCACCTGGGCCCCAGGCTGCTTCTCTTGGCACCTGTAGGTCCTGCTTGCGACTCCCTCTCCCTGGCTTATTCTCCATGCCCACCCGGCCACCTTGCGAGAAGTGTCCTTTGGTCCTTTGACCTGAGATAGGGCCTCCGCTCGCAGTTCACCAGCTCCCCGGGCTGGGCCGGAACCTCACTGGTGCTTGGTACCTAATCAGTCTACATGAGCTACGGTGATGGTGGTGAGAGAGCGGTGGTGCGGAGGACAGTGGTTGTCTTAGTTACCTGTAAGTAAGAGGAGGGAGGGTGTATTGTAGCTCATGGTTTGTAGAGGTTTCAGTCCATAGTTGCATGGCTCCAAGGTGTGTTTGTCATGAGCAGAAAAATGTGAATCCAGCAGGCCTGAGAGCACTGTCCTTAGAAAGGCCAGCGTGATCCTGCCACTCCCCGGACGGGTCAGCCCGGCTCACCGTGACCAAACCGGTTTTACAAGAGAACGGTATTTATGCTGTACACCTGCCTCCCTCGGGGTCTGGAACCTTGTAAGCACCTGCACAGGGGCCCGAGGGCTCAGCCCTGAGCATAGACCCTGAGTTTAGAGTCCCTGCTGTGCTTCACATGCATGGTCACAGTGCGCTGCTGGGGTGGGGGGGCGCCTGGGCACATCCTGTGTTCCCTGGAGGGATCTGGGAAGCTGCGACCTCTCAGGGCTTTGCCCACTGCTTCTCCTTTCCTTTCTGGTTTTGCTGGGTGTCTTTGTGCTGTGAGCTTTTATGAGCCGGACCGCGGTGAGTCCACACAGTGAGTCATCGAACCAGTGGGTGATCTGGGGGCTCTGACGGTCAGTGCCTCCTTTGACACCACAGGAGAAGATCGGGACTGGGTGCAGGAAAAGTATGGGTTGTGATCTGGCTAGCAGAGCTCAGCTGCCCTGGCAGGAAGTCTGGGGTCAGGTGCTGCCCGTCACGGTGACCCTCAGGCTGGAACGGCTGTGGTCATGCCCCTGCTGTGCTCTGCCAGCTGATGTTGGCTGTCCCGGGAAGGGCATGACATCAAGTGATTCTGCCCTGGAACCTGGGGGTTGCCACAGTGCCATCTGCCCATAGCTGGGGACCTGGCCCTTCCTGGAAGGGGATCTGGGTGTGCAGCTCCTCGCCCACCAGCCATGCTCAGCGTGAGAGGGCCCTCGTGCTTACCCTGTCAGGCTGCAGATTGCCTGGCACACTGCCTGCCTCCTCGGCAGTGTGTCCCCCCCAGTGGGCATACTCTGTGCCTGTGGTGGGCAGTCCTCCTGGGGACAGCCTCATCTCCTCCTGGTCTGCCTTAGATTTGGTGCATATTCAGTGTGGGAACTTAACATGCTCAGTGCGAGTGATGGGCCGGGTGTGGGGCTGGGTGGCTCTGCTGCAAGCCCTCACTCCTCAGCCCTTGCCTGCCCCTCTAAACTCCACCAGGCAGCTCAGTCTCAGAGAGGGCCAGCCAGCCTCAAGGCGACCAGCCAGTCTCTGCTTGAGGTCAGTCTAGACCCTGACGGTCCCTCTCGCCCCTGCAAAGCCTCTTGGCCATCTGCTTGGCCTGGAAGAGGGGCCGTGTGACCACGTGTGACTTCCTGTCTCCCTCCTGCCCCTGCAGGTCCTCTCCCACCATGGCCTCCATGCAGCAGGCTTCTTCATTGCCTTCCTCGTCTCCCTGGTGCTGAGCTGGGTGGCGCTTTTCTTCCTGGCACGCTGTCGGTGTCTGCCTGGGAGCCTGCTTGCAGGACACCAGGTGAGTCTTCCTGCCAGGGCATCGAAGCTCCTGGGGGCGGTTCAGGATGGACATTCATCCCAGCCTGACAGTGGACGGCAGACCCAGCTGGTGACTTCCAGGCCCCTCCAGAGGCCGAGGTGCTGCTCCTGGGTGCCTCATCACGAGCCTTTTCAGAAGCTCCCTGGCGATTCTCCTCCAGGCTGTTTTTAGTTGACATAATAATTGCACAAGCTTCTGGGGCACAGTGGTGTGTTTTGATGTATGTGGGCGCTGTGATGATCAAACCAGGGCAGTGAGTATAGGTTCCTGACATTCACGGTTCTTTGTGCTGGGAATGTTCAGCGTCCTCTGTTCTGGCTGGGCATGCACGGCACATCTCTGCCAACTGTCATTGCCCTCCCGTGCGATGGCAGAGCCCTGCTTCCTCCCCTCACCCGGCTGTGGCACTGTGCCTGCTGGCCAGCCTTTCCCGTCCCAGCCTCCTGTCGCCTCTGTTCCGCTCTTTACCCCGGGACATCAGCTGTTGAAGTGAGGGTGGGTTCCACACACGAGCGGGATCATGCGGCCCTTGTCCTTCCGTGCCTGGCTCATTTCACTGCACATACCATCGTCCAGCTCATTCACCTTGTGACAGCCTGTTGTCTCTGCAGTGAACAGTATTGCACTGTGTGTCTGTCCATTTTCTTTACCTTCATCTCTGTTGGATACTTTGGTTGATTCTGTATTTGCCCCGAGTGATTTTTCACCGGTGGATGGGTGGGAAGACTCCACACGTGAGCGCCCGCCTGTGCGCTGCCCCAGTTCAGGCCCATTCTACAGCACCGCCGTCCTCGAGGAAACCCACCTCCTCAGCCTGGCTTCTGTCACCTCTCCCGCTGTTCTTCACATCGCAGCACTTGCCCTCACGCCCATGGCTTAGTGTGCCCCAGGGCGCTGCTCACCCTTGTGTGCTTCTTCTCCTTTCCCAGACTGGCACAGTTCTTACCCATCTTTGTCTAAACTCTGGCATCTCCTTCCCCTGAAGCCATCGCTGGCCACTTCCTGGCAGGCTAGGGGGGGGTCTCTCTGGGTTCCTCCAGCTTCTGTGGACTCTGGCAGCTCTTACCAGAATGTGCCAGCTCTGACTCTGCACCCCTCCATCCCTTGGTCTCGGTTCCTGCAGAAGCGCACCCCGAGACATGTTTCAGTTTCTGGTAGGTTGCATAGGAAGCGGTCCTCGGGAATAATGGGGTGAAGGCCGGCATCGCCGTTCAGGAAGGGATGGAGGCACTGGCTGGGGATTTGGCCGAGTGATGCTCAGCCGCTGGAGTGAGCCGTGTGGCAGCCCACTGGTCTGCTGTGGGCCCCTTGCTTGGGGGACCTGTGCTTGGGAGACACTGCACAGGGATGGAGTGGTGACTGAGTGCTCTTCCAGTTGATGGGTGGAGGGACAGAGCAAGGAAGGCGAGAGGCCTGCCGGAGAGCCACAGGAGATCCCTTTTTCAAGGGCATCTTTGGAGGTGGGTCTGTCCCCACAGGGCCACGGAGCGCCGGAGCCACTGTGCCTCAGTGTCCCTCACAGGTCCCACACCTGGGCAGAACACCTGCCATCCAGCCCCCTCTCTCAGTTTGTGGAGAACACCGTGGTCCCTGAAGTCAAGCAGCCAAGCCAGGGTGGGACTTGGCTTCTGGGGACCCCACCTCTCCAGAGGCAGAAGCCTTGTCCCCACCATGGGGTCCCTTGCTAGCCCTGTCCCTGCCTGCTGGGGTGAGGGAGACGTTGCCATTTCAGAGTGCATCCAGCCCTCTGTCTCCTTGGCGAGAGAGAGCAAGGAGAAGAAAAGTGCCTGTGTGCATTTCTCCGGGCTGTCATCCGTCAGGAGGACAGATGTGCCCTGCTACTGTGATGGGGACAGAATTTATTTCCTGGAGATTAAAGGCAGATTGGTACAACATCGGGAGGACAACTGCACAGTGGGTGAATGTGATTAAGGTCTGAGACCCTCGCAGTATTTTTCCCTGCCATTGCAGAATGGAATCTTTGCACATTTTTCTTTTTTTGCCAGCATGGTGGCAACTGGTGAGACCATGTGCTGTAAAACAGAAGCGAGCTGCCAAATCAGAGCACCTTGGAGAATGTAAGGTTCCTTCTGAGCCGTGGAGCTGCAGCATATTATCACAGTGCTCTGAGCCTGTCTCTTCCTTTGCAAACTGGGGACACCAGCACTTTTTTGTGGCAGTTTCATGGTTATCACACATACAGTGCTACCTGGGACAGGAACAAGAATTCTTAAATGTGGGCTGTGACTGTCAGCCGTTTCTGCAGAATTAATGATCTTGGGGGCAGAAAGCAGCGATCTCATCTATCCAGTAAGAAAGTTGGGCTTAATTTTCTTTAGTCACTTTGATCTCCTAATCCTGTGTTCCAGTTAGAAAGCAGCCAGCTCCATGGTGTTGAGGACCATCGAGCCAGTTACGAGTTTTCCTGTACCCGATGATGGTAAACTATTTCTGTAGGTCTCTGCAGGTTGAGAGGCTTTTTCCATCTATTGCTTTGTTGTATCCCCACAACGCCCTTGTGCAGGGCCATTGGAGCTGTGGCCCCAGGGAAGTGCAGTGGCTCGGTGACTTCCCCTGGCATTCCCAGAGTCCCCGGTGTGGCAGGCTGGCCAGGTCCTCTGCCTGCAGATGCGGCCTTTCCTGCTGTCCCACACATGGCATCCTGAGAAGGCCTGCTCAGTGGTCATCTCTGCACCTCTCTCCCAGATGCAGGATCCTGAGAGCAAGCTGGAGCCCTCGCCGTTCACCTCAGCGAATGGTATCAGCGAGGATCTCACCCTTAACGACCAGATGATCGATATCCTCACTTCTGAGGACCCTGGGAGGATGCTGCAGGCCTTGGAAGAGTGAGACTCCTGGATCCCCCTGTGGTTGGGCGGAGCGGATGAGTGTCCTCTCTGGGTTCTTCCTCCTTTATCATCATTCAGTGTCATAATCCCACAGCCGCTGTGCGCTGAATGCCGCGCTTGGCATTTCGTCTGAGCCTAGGTAGTGCAGTAGGGCAGTGCAGTGTGCTGAGCAAGCAGGTGTGTGACAGGTGTGATCAGACCGTTCGCTAGCAGGAAGGCGAGGGCTGGCAGCCTCCTCACCTCCCGGATGGGAGTCCCTAACCTGCCTCCTTGGGACGCTGCGCAGATAATGATGTGAAAGACACTCGAGGCCAAAGCATCCTTCGGGCCTCTGAGCCTGGGCCCCATGGGCAGGTACTGAGAGACGCGTCTGGACCATTGGCACCGCTGTACTCCGTCCCAAGGTGACAGCACCACCCACCACCGTGACTGTGATCACTGTGTACAGTAAACACGTACTGATCAACATTTTAAAAAATGAAAACAGCATTGAAAATAGGAGGGCTGGGAAGCAAACTTGAGGAGCTGCCTGATGCTGTCTGCCTGGGCCGTGTGGAAGAAGCAGCCCTCGGACTGACTGAGTCCAGGCAGCCTTGCCTCTTCCTTCTTAGGGTGCCCCCTGGTGGGGCTGGGCGGAAGGCCCACTGTGTCCGCTGAGTGCAGGACCCAGCTGGCAGTGTGGAGGGAGTCGGGCCTGCCTCATCCGTGTCTGACTCCCCAGCGTGGCTGGGGTGTTTCATGCTTCGTGCAGCCATCCCGGTGCCCTTCTCCCCTCAATTCCCTGCTCAGCGTGCCAAGGATGACGGTTTAAAAGCTGCTGCCTCGGCTCCTTCCTCAGTCCCAGGGAGGAAAGCTGGTGGCGCAGGTTCCCAAATGTCACTTAGATAAGAACAGCTGATTAGCACAGTGATTCCTAGATAAGGTTTGCACCACCCCCAAAGAAAACCTCACGAACATGAAAAGTAGAGGAAATGCATTTGATTTGTGTAATCAGTGCTAGGATATTTAATTTGCAAATAGGTAGCACTCTAACCTTCCAACCGGATTAAGTGGCCCCTTATAATGGAAAAGTCTTAATCCTCTCCTGTTTGTTTTTGCTCTAAAAAGTGATGGGGTACAAGAAGCCCGGTCTTCGTTATTCCTGTGTTGCTGTGAGAGTTTAGGCAGGGTCTGTAATTTGCGGCTTGAGTGGAATAGAGATGTTGATGCTCATGAAGAATTCACTAAGGTAATCGCACAGTGGCTCCTGAGTTTTGTGCTTGTTTCCACTCGGGAGTGGATCCGATTTTGCCTGAAGAGTGTGTGACACTGATTATCGGGCGTGGCCTGAGAGTGTGCAGCTTGAGAGCTAAATTTACCCCTCTCCCCACTCACCCGTACCCCAGCATTCACTATTCGTCGAATACCAATTCAGTATCAGATACGGTGCTTGGATGCTCGTTGCAGGGACCTGGTCTTTTGTTTCTTTTAATCGTAGCATTTTCAATTACTTTTAATCTTTCCATCTTGACTCATAGTCAGGTTTAGGAGTACCCAGAAAGAAAATATCCTTCAAAATGTGAGGGGCTCCGTATGCGTGGAAATCCCTGACAGTTTCCCACTGAAAATAGCCTTTTCCTCCAGCACGTCATTTATTCTGCTTGTAATTCCCACTCGAGGTTTGGCTGGCATTCTAAATGCGCCCTCAGGTGACTTGTCTGTCACCTCCTTTCCGAGCTGATCTGAGCCGTACCTTTGTGACCTCTTCCGATTCAGTTTTCTCGGACAGTGATTCCTGGACAGCTTGATTTGGCTTCTGCATCATTTATTCATAGGCTGCTTCTTACAGAGAGGGTTTGAAGGCGGAATATTCACCTTGGCTTTTATCTGACTCTTTGTTGCAACAGTGGAGGGGGCTGGGACCCCACCGATGCCAGGACCAGGAGCGAGGCGGGGCCGGCAGACTGGCAGGATCTGGAAGCTGAGCACTGTGGCTCCAGCTGGCTTGGGGTGGGGCTTGGGGATGATGGACGTGGCCTGGCCCCTTCGCACCTGTGATTTTTATTAGTTTCCCGCAGCAGCTGCCATTCTTAGCCCAGGATGCTGAGGTTCAGCATGGCTCACTGGTTTCGCTTGAGGTCGCACAGGAGGTAATGGACTTCCATCCACACCTGACTGCTTTCAACGCAGCTATTCCGCTGAGACAACAACCTTTGAAAAAGGTAGATCTTAGAATTCTGATAAAAGCAAAGAAAACAAGAACAAAAAGCAGCCCAGACCTGTGTGGACTTCCTGTTACTTGAAGGAAGCTGGGCACTGTCCTGATGCTACCGACATTGCCTTGGCCATCTCTAAATTGCTCTGTGTGAGGAAGGTGTTCCGTGTTTGTAGAGTTGGATTTTTAAATACATGCATCGAGTGGTTCTTTATGGCCAACCATATGTGCTTCTTTGGGTTACAACTCCTGCCTCTTTTGAAATTTTGTATTTTTCTCAGTACGCGTTCGCAGTGCATAATGATCACACTCATCGAGACGTGTCTCTCTTGCTCTTTGCAAACGTCTGCAGAGAGGTGCCTGTGTAAAAACCCGAAGCCTGAGAAAATGAAGCTGCTTGCCTGAGGCTCTCCTGTTGTTCCTTCTCTGGGTTGCTTGTTCTCAAGTGCAGTACTTTTAAAACAGTAACTGGTAGACCATTTCAGCACATCCTTGCCAAGCATCCTCCTGTGCCAGGCTCTGTGGTGGTCCTGCCGGCCCTCAGTGAACAAGAAATAGCCTTGGTTTTGTCCCTGTAGAGCGGACACAAGCAAAGTACCACACTGCACACTGAGACAGATGTTTGGGTCTGCGCCATGAGGTGGAGCTGAAAAGGGGCAAAGGGCATAGGTCCGCGACACAAGCCTGCAACCCCAGCTCTCTGGGAGGCTGCATCCCAGTGTTAGGGCCCTGGGTTCAATCGCTAGTATTTAAAAAAAGGCCCTGCCCTTTTCTCAGGGGTGAGGAGGGCAGTGAGCATTGGAGGGTGAGAAAGAGGGGCCGGCCAGGCTGGCAGGTGCGGGGCACAGGGGAGGGAGGGTCCTGCAGCCCTGGCTTCTCCTCTGACCCTCAGGGCTGCCCCCTGTACATTTAATGCCTCTGTACCCCTTCTCACCATGCACAGTAGGCATTCTAACGGGCAGGGGCTCTCCATCCTGCTCATGGTTTGTCCCCAGGGCCTCAGATAGTGCCCGGCACACGTGACCAATGCCCGCAGGAAGTGGTAGGCTTCCTAGAAAGTCCTTGCAGTTCACTGAGAGACTGAGGTTACCAGGCAAAGATTAGGTGAAGGACCAATGTCATGCAAGCCAGAAGACAACACCCAGATGTGGTGTGTCTCCGAGGACGCCTGGCTGTGGCTGGGACATGCTGGCTGGGTGAGATTCAGCTGAGGACGTGCCAGGTACAAGCGAAGCCTGTGCCCCTCAAGCTGGGAAGGCAGGAGGTCATGTGTAGGTGGGTGTGTGGCTTGGGAGCACATGGGGCACTCCTGCCTGATGCTTCTCACTGAAGGACAAGGTGGGGACACCAGGGCAGAAAGGGGAGGGAGGAAAGTCAGGCACAGTGCAGGGCTCCCCTCTGCTCCCTAGAGAAGCACGCAGGGACTGTGGTCACACTGAGTACCCCTGTGCAGCAGGGATCCTGTGGCTGTTCAGGGCGCCTTCCTCTGTGGCCTGGATGACTGGGTGTGGGCCCCACGGGCAGGAACTCAGGCGAGACATCTGGACAGGGGGGTTTGAGTCCCAGCACTGCCTCGGGTTTCTGTGGCGATGGGGAGACAGTGCCCGCCTCATGCGGTCAGGTAGACCCAAGGCCAGCCCAGCGCTATGCGTGTGAATGGCTTTTGCAGGCCTGGGAGAGGACAGGGAGAGTCTTCTGGCTGTGGTGCTACCCTGCTGCGTCCTCAGTGGCTTCAAACAGCAGAAGCTTCCTCTTTCCCAGTCCTGGGCCCAGAAGCCCGAGTCAGTTCCGCTGGGCCGAAGTCGAGGACTGAGCAGGGCCATACTCTCTCCGGACGCCCTAAAGACAAGTGCTCCCGGCCTCTTCCAGCTTCTGGTGGCCGTGGTGGCTGGGTGGGTGACAGATCAGTCCAGTCTCTGCCTCTCGTGGCCTCCATCTCCCCGCGTGTCTCCAGTCTCCTTCCCTGGGAAGACACTTGCGACCGGATTCGGGGCTCACGGGAGAGCCAATCTCTCGTAAGACCCCGTGTCCAACCCCTTCACTCCACTGTACCCGAAAGCCCCTTCTCCTCTTAAGGCCACATCTGGAGGCTGCAGGGACGAGGCCCTGACCTGTCTGGGTTGTTACTCAAAGAAGCAGCTGTGAAATCTGAAGAGAATGAGGGCGGGATGGGGCCGTGGGAAGAGTGGAAGAAGGGGCCGAGGGTCCCTGGCTTATGAGGCAAGTGGTGAGATCGCTTCTGGGCTGCTCTGGAGGGTTCCGTCTGACGGAGGCCTAGCGGAGAGCTCACCTTTCCATGAAACCTTGGCCGGCCAGGCCTCAGAGCCGGGTCTCTGACCTCCAGGCTCCCTTTTCTGTGCAGAGGCTATGCAAGAACCTCCTGTCCCCCAAGACAGGATAATATGTAGAGAATGTCCCAGCATGGCTGACATGGATTCCCTTAACTGCTGTGACAGAGAGGAGTTGAGATCCAGGATGAATCTCCTTGACTTAAAGACTGAAGCATGGCTGTGTGTCCCCAGGCCACTGCTCCTGCTCACTGCAGCCAGAGGGTTGACTTGGCCCCAGCGTGGCTTCCTTCAGCAGCAGTGGCATCGGGGGCTGCCTGGGGTGGGGGAGCCTTGGCTCCTTGCTCCTAGTTAGGCTACCCTGCAAGCCAAGCTCGTGTTCTCAGTGTCCCATGTGGGAATCCATAAGATTGGCCCAGCTCTAGGAGCTGTGGGATGTAAGGAACCGAAGTAAATCCCCACCTGTGACACAATGGCCCTTGGCCATGAGGGCTGCTGCAGCCCAGGTCTGGTCAACATCTCCACGGGGCAGGCAGGGCTGCTGGGGGATGAAGAGTGGCCTCCCAGGCCCCTCGAAGAGATCGAGCTCAGCGGGTTGTGATGTCGTCTGAACAGACTGTCCTCCTTTTCTCTCTCCCTCCCTCCCTCCCTTCCTTTCTTCCACCCAACCACCTGGCCATCCATTCATTTACCCACCTATCCACCTATCTATATGCATTTGTTCTCCATTATCTTCTTTACCACAAAGGACGATACTAACAAAGCCTGTGGCAGACATGACAACAGCGACAACAATGAAAGTAACACTTTTCCAGTTTGTGTTTTGTGCCTGCTGTTGCATCGCGGTGGGGTAGAGGATAGAGCAAGGATGCAGTGCCTCATGTCACTGGTTCAGGCCCCAAATCGGCCACTTCATAGTTACATGACTCTGAGCAAGGACCTTTTAATTTTTTTCTTGCTTAGTTTCTTCAACTGTAAAACACAGGCTAATCACCTTCCTTATAAAATTAATGTGAGGATTAAATGCCTAAGATGTGTAAAGCTACTAAAACAAAGCCTGTACTTTGGAGGCATTATTATTAATCCTCTCAATGAGGTCCACTCAATGTAGTGATCACAGTCTCACTTTACCTAGGGGAATGAGGCTCAGGGATGTTACTGATGCACCCGAGCAAACCCAGTTCCTGAGGGGTGAAGCTGAGATTGGAAGCTAAGTGGGTGACTCAAGCGGAGAATGAGATCACGCCACCTGCGTGGAAATGATTGGCTGTGCTCAGAAGGACGTGAGGAGGGAAGTTCGCAGAGGAAGAGGGCTCCCTCCTTCTGTTCCCAAGCTGTCTGTCCTGTTGGCGTGTGACCAGCAAGTAGGCGGGAAGTGGGCAGACGTAGGGGACACTCAGGACTGAGAGTTCTGTGTGTCTTCCCCCAAGGAGTAGCTCAGTGCCTGGAGACAGAGCTCACAGTCTGACTTTTAACCATAAACTTTAAGAGGAGACAGGTCCTGTGGACAGGTGCAAACTGCAGACCCCCGGTATGTTACAGTCTGTGTGTTCATAACAGCTCAATGGTAACACTGATACATAAGTTTTATGATGCTTTGCTCATATACAATGGTTATTTGTACCCTTACTTGTTTAATTTTTTGAAGGTTTTTTTCCCCACATTGCTTTAAACTCTATTTATTCATTTATTTTTATTTATACCATCTTATTTATACCATATTGAGTCCCAGCACTGCCTCTCGGGTTTCTGTGGTGATGGGGGACAGTGCTCACCTCATGCGGTCAGGTAGAGGACAGGGAGAGTCTTCTGGCTGTGGTGCCACCCTACTGCGTCCTCAGTGGCTTCAAACAGCAGAAGCTTCCTCTTTCCCAGTCCCGGGCCCAGAAGCCCGAGTCAGTTCCGCTGGGCTGAAGTCGAGGACTGAGCAGGGCCACACTCTCTCCGGATGCCCTAAAGACAAGTGCTCCCGGCCTCTTCCAGCTTCTGGTGGCCGTGGTGGCTGGGTGGGTGACAGATCGGTCCAGTCTCTGCCTCTCGTGGCCTCCATCTCCCCGCGTGTCTCCAGTCTCCCTCCCTGGGAAGGTATTTATTCTCCAGCTACAATTTAGATAGTAACCATCCTCAGGAGATGTTTTCCCCCAATTTCTATTGCTCAGGCCCTCAATTGGACAGGCTGTCCATGTGATTTCTGGCCCCAGCGTGGAGTCTTGGGGGATTATCTGTCCATGAAAGTTGGCTTCTGATGAATATTCCAGGCTCACTAATACTGAATTAGTTTTTGTAATTTTACTCTGCTGACTCCAGCAACTTCAAGATGCTAGATTTGTATGTAAAAAAGGCTGTGGGTCTTAAGTTCTCCTCCAAACTGATGGTCATATGATTAAATGTTCAAAAGAATATTTACTGCCCTGTGCACCAAATCCTGTCCTAGTTTTAATCTGACACCTTGCTCACCATTCACTGAGAACTTGATTAATTCTTATATGATCCGAATGAGAAGAAAAGACATTAATGTCACTCTCCTCCTCTTTTTATCATCAGTAGCTGATCGAAGTATTAGTCAGCTCCTGGATGAGTGGAGCTGTGCTGTTTCTTGTAGAAAGATGTCATCGTGGGCGAGCCCAGGCATCAGAGCAATGGTCTATGCTTAGGAAGTGCATCATCTTGTGCACTGAATGTGGCTCCAAGTCCTGTGTAAATTCTCTCATCTCCAAGAGGCACAATCCTTGTGCAGGTTGCATATGCACAAACCTAGGCAGAGCAACTGAAATGTTTGCCTTCAAAGTGCAAGGACAAAATGACATTTTTGTGACCCCTCCCCAAAAAAAAGGAGGAGAAGGGAGAGGGAGAGGGGAGGGGGGGAGGAGGGGGAGGGAGAGGGAGAGGGAGAAGGAGAAGAAATTTCCCCAGGAAAGCCATATGCAGATGCTGCCAACTCGGCATGTCTTTGAAATAGTGAAGAAGTTTAAGAATCAGAGCCCAGCAACTGTGGCTCAGGATGTCTTAGTCGGCCTTATGGTGTCTTTAGGGACTTGCTAACATTTGACCCTATGATTTTATTTGTGGGATTTTGTACAGAGAAAATTATTGTGAATATCAAAAACTCTGTACAGTGATGTTTACTTCATGGTTATTTTAGATTATATAGTAGGAGAGCAGTTAATTGAATGGTGGTTTATCAGATGGTGGAAGTTTTGCAACCATTGTAAAGAAAATATACATGCCTGTTGCAATGCTAATTGGGAAAAGGAGGACACAGTTATACTTACAGCTATACAGATAGTGTACATTTATGGAAAAGACATGCATGGAAAGAAACACTGGGAAAACATGGCAAGATGCCTTCACTGATTGTAATTCAATGGTGGACCAACAGTGAATGAAATCTTTTTCTGTGTCCTCTATTTTCCAGATTTTAAAAAATCATGAACATAATTTTTCCTAGCTTTTATAGAAGTCTGATTAACATACCATAAGCCTCCCCTATGTATGAGTGTGGTCTGGTGTGTGTGATAAGTGTACACCGTCACACCACACACGCAGTTGCTCGTGGAAACAATCATGGTGAAGGGCATGGAGGAGGAAAGCTACTCAAGTTATGGCAGCCAGTAGCACAGAGAGAACAGGAAGAGAGCCAGAGAGCAGAGGGGCCTGGACAGGATATCCCCTTAAGGTACACCCCAGGGACCTACTTCCTACCATTGGACCCCACCTCCCAACAGTACATTCAGCTATGAACTCAGGAGTGGATGAGTTTGGGGGAACATTTTAGATCCAAACCATTATAGTACATTTGTCACAGCTCACGAACTAAATGCCAATATGTCGTTATTACCTAGAGTCTGTGATTTGTTTAGATTTCCTCCGTTTTTTAGTTTGATTCTTTGTTTTTTCTACCCCAGGATCTCGTTCCGGATATAACATTACATTTAGTTGTCATATCTGAAACTCAATTTTTAATTGGAAAAGTGTAAAATAAACTTTATTTTTAAATCCTTAAATATATTAGCTCTCCTCTTTCCCTGTTGGTCTTTGAGCTGTTGTTGACTTGTTGACAAAGACATGTTGGGTATTACTGCTATCCCTGTGGTTCCTGGCATCTTACAAGTTTACTCAGTAAGAATCTGCTAACTTAGTGACGGGCCTTCGTTAGCTAGGTGGAGCATAAGGGAGAGAGGAAAAGAAGGAAGAGAAGGAAGAAAGAAGGGCCTAACCTGTGAAGCGCAGGCACTGTGGGGGCTCTGGTTTCTCTTGTGGTTTTATAGACTAGAGCTCTTTTGACCTCTGTGTTTCCCAGGTTGGAGATTGCAACCCTGAACCAGGCTGATGCAGATCTGGAGGCTTGTCGAACCCACATCAGCAAGGATATCATTGGCCTTCTGCTGAGAAGTCTGACCAGTGGAGGTCACCTCTCCCCACAGGTGGAGAGGAGGATCGGTTCTGTTTTGAAAGAACAGTTTCTGCTGCTGGAGAATGAAGTACAAGAAGAGTGTGATCGTAAGATGTTGGCATGGACAGCAGAATGTGACCTGGAAACAAGAAAGAAGACAGAAAACCAGTACCAGAAGGAGAGGGAAGCAATGGAGGAAGCAGAAGAGTTGCTGAAACGTGTTAGTGAGAGGGTAAGGACGCTCTGAAGGCATTCACGTGCCTCATTTCTCCTCAGATTCGTCATTCACTCATGCACCCATCTGTCTATCCATCACCATCTAGCCAATGATATATCCATCCACTTATCCATGTGCCCATCCATCCATCTATCTGTCCAGTCATCCGTCTATCCATCTGTCCATTCATCCATCCATCCATCTATCCACCCCTCCGTCCATCCACCTCTCCATCCATCCACCCATCCGTCCATCCATCTATCCACCCATCCAACCATCCATCCACACATCCACCTATCCACCTATTCACTGACCCACCACCTGACCATTCACCTACCTATCCATCCATCCATCCATCCATCCATCCATCCCTTTTACCCATCTACCTCTCCATTCAGTCATCCACCTATTCATCCAGCTACTTATCCTCCATCCACCCACCCATCCATCCATCCATCCATCCATCCATCCATCCATCCATCCATCTCTTCTGGATTCATTCAGCAAATATTTAGGGATCACTTACCATTTTTCAGGCCACTAGGGTAGGCCCTATAGGTACTGGGTAAAATAAGACATAGATCTTGTGTTTTAAGGGATTTGTAGTTGAACAAAGGATCCTCATGAATGAACAATGAACCATGTTATAATAGAGAGTTGTCTGTGGTATCGTGGGAGATCCTGGGCTGAGTGGAAAGGCACTATTTGCAGAGGACGTGGTTCCTAGATGGTGGTGACTTTAGGGTGCAGATCTGTCTTTGGAGGTCACAGTTCTCACCCCCATGGACCTGGTGTCAGACAAACTGGAGTCCTGTTTTCCTAGTTCTGCTCCTGAGGGCCACACTCACCTTTCCAAGACTGACAGCACCTGTCAGGTAGGCTGGGAGAAGGAGTACAGAAAGAGCAGCCCCCAGGGTCTGGCTGCAGGTGACACTCAGTTCAGGTGCTCAGTTCTTAGAGTTCTGGGCACTGAACATCCCCAGGGCCAGCTGTACTGGTCAGAGAGCAGCTCTTTCTTTCAAATGAGGTGCCTGTCACTGCCTTGGAAGAAGGAGAGTAGCCCAGGAGTGCCAGATCCAATCAAGCCTGGCTTCTGTCAGGCTTGTTCAGTCTGTTTCCCTTAAGCCTGCATGTCCCGTTTGGACACCTGGCATCTGGGGGAGGCCCGACAGCTGCTTAGGAGCTCAGTGTCCACGTCCTTCCTGCCAGCTAAACACAGGGTTTCCCAGAAGTTGGCAAATAATTTTCGAGTTGGCAGTTCATGGGTCACAAGAGGCCACCTGTCTCCGACATGGGCTTGGAAGTAAAGACAGAGGCGACCCTCCCTGTCCCCGACCTTTTACCTTGCTCCTAGGCCTCTTCTTGCCACAATGATGTCATGCTTCAGGCTGTGACTTGGGTACTGTTTAGTGTTGGTATGACTTTCCTATGGCATCCAGAAGAAATTACCATTGATTGATGCCTTAAAACAAAAATAAACAAACAAAAAAAGGCATCAATTTTGTCATAGTTCTGGAGGCCAGAGGTCCAAATCCAGATGTTGTGTCCCTCCCAAGTCCCAAGGGGAGGGTCCTTCCTTGCTGCGTCCAGCTTCTGGTGGCTTCAAGTGTTCTTTGGGCTTTAATTGAATCACTTTGATCTCTGCTCCATCTTCATATGGCCTTTTTCCTGAGGCCCTGCCATCTCCTTTTCTACCTCTTATCAAGACACTTGCCATTGGATCTAGGGATTGTCCAAGTGTCATTGGATTTAGGGCGCATCAGATAACCCAAGATGATCTCACAAGAACAAAGCCCTTTCTTCCAAATGGGACCATGTTTACAGGTTCTGGGGGAGGACTGGAGATAGATGTCAGGGATCACATCATTCAGCCACCTCCAGCCTCCTGCTCTCTGCTTCCTGCGGCTGTCACAACAGGGCATGTGATCAGCATCATGTTTCCCTGAGCCTGGCCCATAGGATGAATGTGTGAATAGCCCTGTTCAGCCCCTGAACAATCTCACCACCTCTCTCTTTCTTTTCTGTTTTTCTATGGTCCATAAGTTGAGAACAGTTTTTACATTTTAAAAGAGTTGTGAAACAAAACAGATGAAAGTCAGAGACCTTCTGTGGCTGTAAAGTCCAAAAGATTTACCTGGCTCTTTGCAGAAAGTTTGTCAAACAAGCCTAAAAGGACAAAAAAAAAAAAATCTGAAAATAAAGTAGTCAACTGAAAAGTATCCAACCATTGAACAGCAGAGACCCACGCACTGCGCCACTGACTGCCTTCTGGCTGTGGACCTCACCTGGACCCACAGCGTGGGCCTGGTGCCCACTGCCCCACATTTCTGCATACCTGCCAGCTCACGTAGTTCCACATTTATGAACAGAATATATGGTTTATGCAATTTGCACAATTACATCTTGCCCATTTTCACTTTGCATCACAGCGTAAACAGTTTTCTGATTTTATTATATCCTCTTAAAAATATGATGCAAAGGAAAGAGCTCAAATTTACTTAGAGCTCCTTGTGTGCCCGGTGTTAGTCTATGCATATCACGTGGGTAGAATCCCACTTTGGCAAGGAGGAAACTGGGACATGAAGATGTTGTCCATGTCCCCCAGGTGGCACCAGGACTGTCACCCAGCCATTCGGCCCCTAACCAATGGCCCCTAACCACTGCACCCCTGTGGCTACCCTTGTGCATTGGGATGTCATATCCCTGTGCTGTGCGCTCCATGTTAACCCATGCTATTGGCTGTCTAGTGTTTCTAGTGCTTTTGCTACCTGAAGATGACCTGAGGTGCCAGGTTGGTTGTCAGGGGCATGGAGGGCTGCAGTTGGCACTGCCTTTGCTTCCATTTCCGTGTGAGACCTGATCCTTCTCAAGCTCTGAACCTGTGTCCTTCAGGGTTTGCTGTAGTCTGTCCTCTTCCGGCCCCTTCCCTATTGGTATTCAATGGGGGACAACACTGCTCTGAATCCCAGGGGTCACCGTGGGCACACGGACTGCCTTATTTGAGCAAATCTGCTTCCGAAAATAGCATCTGAGTTGCAAAAATTAATAGTAGTCATTCCCGTCCCATCCAATCAGCAGCCCCATCCCGTAGAAACCACATTCTTATACTATCTGTTACAGGTGTCTTTAATAAGATTCAAATAAATATTTTGGATATATTATTGTACCAGAATTAGTTTAAGGGGCAGGGGAAAGAAAGTAAACAGCATAAGTATTTTGGAGTAAAATTTAAATATTCAGTAATGAGTATAAAGATGAAATTGGTTTATATTTCTTTCTTTCAGTTTTAATTTTTTTATTAGCACGTTTGCAGCACAAAATGATCACTGTCTTAGTTAGTTTCCTCATTGTTGAAACAAAATACCCAACACCCAAAGTTAAAAGAGGAAAACTTTATTGTAGCTCACAGTTTGTAGAGGTTTCAGTTCCTTTTTGGCTGGCTCCAAGGCAGGGCAGCATGGCAGAGGGGCATCGCAGGGGAGAAACAGCTCATGGCAGGCAGGCAGAAGACAGCAAAGCAGCAAGCGGCAGCAATAGAAGCAGAAAGAGAAGCAGTAGCAGCAAGTGACTGCAGCAGCCCTCTTTGATTCCTTATATTCCATTCAGGCTAAAGGCAGGATTGGACTCCCTTAATTCCAGCATCACATCCTTAATCCCAGCATCACACACCTTAGAGCCAGCCACCACCCCCAAAAAGCCCCACCTATGACTGGATGGGGCTTTGGGAGCCATCTAGATACAAGCCATAACATTCTGCCCCTGGCCCCCCAAAGACTCGTGCACATCCCTTAATGCTAAAGGCATTCAGTCATCTCTAACAGTTGCCAAGGGCCTAACAGTTTCAGCATCACTTCAAAGTTCCAGTCCAAAGTCTCCTCTGGGATTGAAGGCAAACTCTTACCTGCAGGCCCCTGTACAAATGAAAAGGAAGTTAAACACTTCTAACAAGATAAACATTACCATTCCTAAAGGTACAAAGGGGGATAGAAAGGAATGGGACCAAAGCAAGTCCAGGGCCCTGCAGGGCAAACACTGAGTGTTGTAGTTCCTTGTCCAGCAACCAAGGCAGGCTATGGCAAACTCCAAAGGGCTTGGGTGGCTCCGCCCTGATGGCACTGCAGATGATTGCAGCTCTCATGGCTTCTCTCTTGGGCTGGCTTTGCTCACTCCTTGCTACTTTCCTCAGATGATCTGTTTCTGACTTCTTCAGTCTTCTGGGGTCTGCACTGCCCCTTCGGCTTCACACTCACAGCTCCACACACTGCCCTCTCAGGGGCGCCCTGCCTGACCTCCCAGGCCTGCTGAGATCTGGGTGGAAGTCTTCTGACCCCACACCTCTTGCATTCTGCGTGTACCTAAAATCAGCACCACGTGGATGATGCCAGGGCCTGCCACCAGCTGGAGCAGTAGCCAGGCTTCCTTCTCTGTTGGCCCTTGGGGTCCAGGCCCTGGACTGCTGAGCGCTCTGAACCCCATCCCGAGGAACATATTCTCTAGGCACCGGCCTCATAGCCTCAATCCCAGCGTCACACACCCTAGATCCAGCCACCTCTGAAAAGCCCCACCTATGGCTACAGGAGGCCTTGGGGGATCTAGACACAGCCTTAACGGTCACATTCCTCTTGGGGAGCAGGTACGTGTGCACCACAGATTTTTGTCGCTTTCCCTTCTCTTCCTCCTCCCTCCATCTCTCGGCTCTCTTCCCCTTTGCGGAAGACCTGTCTTCCTGTTTGCTATTCTCCCTTACTTTGTTCTTGATGGCTTTCGAGCCCATCTCTACTGAGAGGCCGTAGACCAGCCATGAGGATAGAGACTCAGAAGGCTGCTGCCTGGCTTGGATTGCCCCTTCATACCTAAAAAGGCACACAGGTGGGTCACCCCGTCTCCTCCCCACTGCAAGTGGAAATGAGGATGATGCCTATCTTGGGGCTGATTTGAGAAATACTCTAGTGTTTGTAGGGAACTTCAGCTGGATGGGAGAGCCTGCCCATGGGCACTGTCAGTCTCACAGGAGCTGGAGGCTCCAGGTTTTGTTGTACAGTAGGCTGGCTGCAAAGAATGAAAATGAACTGCGTATCTTAAAGAGCTAGAAGAAAGGGTTTTGAATATTTTCAACTTAACAAACAACAAATGAAGGGAGAGATTTAATCCGATGTAAACACTTATAACGTTTACATGTTTCAGATATTGCATGGTACCTCATTCACATGTACAATTTTTACATTTTTCTGAATCAGCTGAAATAAAAAAAAAAAAGAACAATGAAGAACTAATGCTTGGCAGCAGCATCAACCTTGTCCCGATGTTTGCTGTGATTCATAATATCATATCATTTAAAAAACAATCTGGGATGTAGAACAGTCAGAATGTGATGTGTTTCCATTTGGATTGGGGAAACTGAGGCCCAGGCGGGCAGGGCCTTGCAGCCCCACCTCCTGCAGCCAGGGCAGGATGGTGCTCCCCTCTGGGTCCTGTCTGAAGGGCCCCAGGCTGCGCGTGCATACTGCCTGGGCTGCCTGAGTCTTCCTGACTCCCTAGTGAGCAGCTTGAAGGAAAATGGCTTGTGCGAAGGAACTCTTCCGGTTTAACCATCTCTGGTGGATTTATTTCTCTAAAAGTTTTACCATTTGCCTGTCTTGCTAAATGGAGCACAAGGAGCATCATCTAGCACAGTCCTAACTTCCCGCATGGTTCCCGGATTTCTGACGTGCAGAGTCCGCACTGTGCATAGCGGTTGCCCTGGGCTGGCTCAGCTGGAACGGAAGTGCCCACCCCCATCCTCAGGGCCTCCGGGCCGGCTGAGCACGGGTGGGGTGCTGGACCCTTACATAGCAGGCCGCCATCCTCCCTCCCTCCCTGCAGGACCTCGCTGCTCCCGCTGCTGCTGAGGGCTTGCTGAACAAGGGCCGGGCTAGAGCACATTTCTTCCCAGCTCCTCCTCTTACAGGACAGAAATTATTTGAAAATTGATCCTGTGCATGTTTCCTTAGGGAGCCTCTCACTATGACACAAATCACAAGCGTATCATTGCCTTGTGCTGTACTTTTTAGGAGGAATAGAATGTTGAGCAAGGACAGAACATTTTATTTTAGGATGTGTGTGTGTGTGTGTGTGTGTGTCTGTTGTCTGACTTCTTTCCTGGCTGCCAGAAATGAAATGGATTTTACTTCGTGCTTTTTTCCTATTCATGAAAATAAATTGAGGTTTGAACGTGTCAAATTCAAGACGGTGGAGAACGTTCGCTTTGATGGCTGAACTGGCCCCATAATGCCAGCTCCTCAGCTGCAGCCCGCCAGGGTCCAGACACCCTCGTGCTTGAGTTATGTTCTTTCCTCTGGATCAAGTCACCTGTAGATAAATACCGATTCTCTGCAATAGGGTGACTCAGAAAATATAACCCAGTCGTTTTTATAAAACCAATTTTCATTAAAGACCTGCTGTAGTTACCTGGTGGCTGGGGCGAAGCATTAATGTTGGGTGGCTCCCTCCTGATTTACCCAAAGTGAGCTACCTGGGGACCTAATCACACGGATAGGAGGCCTCACTTCCCCTGTAATGACACCCAGCCAAAGGTGACATCATAACATGTCATTATCTTATCCTATCAGAGTCCTGTTTCTACCCACGCTCTGGGAAGGGAGGGAGTTGCATCGTGGCACACGGGGGCGTGGTGGGCATCCTGGGGCCCTTCCTCCCCTCGTGCCGCTGCTGCATGGGGAGCTGAGCATGAGAATGTTTCTTTCTGGCCCCACACTGGACCGCTTAACCTGCAGGTTGCCAGGTAGCCATTTCTCAGCCTCTCACGAGCCTCTTTCTACCCTGGATCCCAATTTGGACTTGGTTGCTGGTATTTTTATCTTCAACGAGGTTGAGGATGAAAAGAGGATAGAAATAATTTGTGTGCGACTAGCTGCATGATCCATTGATACTTAAGAGATTTCCATTTTTTGCAGCTCTTTTCAGTCAGTTTGATTTGCGCATTTCTACCTTGATGAATTTTCTACTTTGTAGTCTTTCTGGGAAAACATTCAGATAACAGTGAGGGGCAGGTGGGCACAGCATCTCCCTGCGGCTTCAACCCATTGCAGCATGGGATGAATGTGCGCTTGTGTGTGCCCGTGCATGTACGTGTGTTCCATGTGAGTGTGCTGTGTGCCCGTGGATCTGTGTTCCTGTGTCTGTGTGCACTGTGTGCCTGTGTGTGTACAATGTCTGCATAAATATGCATGTGTCTGCTGAGGGTGCATTGCCGAGTGTGTACATAGGTGAATGCGTGTGCACACACACTGCATGCAAGTGCATGTGCGCATCGCATATGCTGGTACATTGCACACGTGTGTGCTGCGATCACACTGCACATGTTGAATAGGCTGTCTGTCAGTTGTGTGAGTGTCCATGCTGTCTGTGCACGTGTGTGTGCACACGTGGCATGTGCGTATACATGCTCACTCAGTGTGTCTCTCTCACGTGCTGCCTCTCTCCACAGTCTGCCGCAGAGTACAGCAGCCTCCTGCGGACCCTGCACGGCCTGGAGCAGGAGCACTTGTGGAGGTCGCTGGCTCTGCACCAGGAGGAGGATTTTGCCCAGGCTCACAGGCAGCTCGCCATTTTCCAGAGAAATGAATTGCACAGCGTCTTTTTTGCCCAGATAAAAAATGCGATCTTCAAAGGGGAACTGAAGCCGGAGGCAGCTAAAATGCTGCTGCAGGATTATTCTAAACTGCAGGTAATGGCCTCTGTCAGGCTGCTCAGGTGATGGCAGAGTGGTTTTCTAAGCACCTGCAGGAATTCTGTCCTCTCCCCGGGCTGAGTGCTGTCTCAGAAGCCATTGAGCTAACTTCCTCTCCTCCTGTCTCTTGCTGCCTGGCTGTGGTTCTAGCGCCTGGGTGGACCTGAAACGATCCCAGCTGCATCCCTGTCAGCTGTGTGAAGCTGAGCAAACCCCCCAGTGCCTCTGCCGTGGAGTGTGCAAAACAGACCTCACTCCCAGAGGTGTGAGGAAGGGATAATGAGCCATCCAGGGCAAGGCAGTGTTGGGTACAAGAGGTTCTTAATGTACATAGTGAAAAAGATAAGTTAATACACACGTGTGTGTGTGCAGATTGGTGTGGAGACGTTGGGTTTGGGATCTGTGTCTTCATAAGCTTGGGTCAATTTGTGTGTATTTTTGCACACAAGCTTGGTGTGAAAATTTTTAACCCAGACTGAAGAAATTCCTAGCTGACGGTGAGCGTGGTTTTTCTGAGTGTCCGTGTTACTGTGTCCTGCGTGAGGCGTGTTACGTGCATGTGTACACACACAAGAATCACTGGTGTGCAAGAACAGCCTTCCTCATTTGTGCAGAGAGGCATTCAGCAGGGCTGACAGCTTGCTCCAGGTGCCAACGATGGCCATGAAGAACAAATTCCTGCTTTGCCGTGGAGATTTTGCTTTCCGACTGCGAGTGGGATGTTGGAGAGCCGGGGTGTGTGTAAAGTAGCAGGGGCCCTCTGAGGGTGCTGAGGACCTGGCCACCGCGTGGCACTCAAGTCTGCGAGGTTGATGTCCTTTGCTTCTCCCAAGTAGCCGTCAGTGCCACCTCCGCTGTGTCTTCACAAGGGAAGTTGTCCCGGAAGGCTGGCTGGCTCATTTGCCTCTGAGATTCCCAGTGGGCCTTGGCAAGGCAAGTTCAGCTCACGAGAACAAGCTGTGCCCACCCGGCTGAAGCAGGGTGTGTGCCCAGCCTTTGCCACTGCCGATGCCAAAGCGATTACGGGGTAGAGGTCAGCCAGCTGGAGGAGGCATGGAACAGATGTACATCCATGCCTCTCTGTACGCCCGTGTGTGCACAGGTCCCAGCAGGGAGGCCGCTGCACTCAGCATTCACCAGGCTGGCACGTGTCCTCCTGGTGTCCTCGTGGTCCTGGCAGGGGCCGAGTGTGCAGGGCTGAGACAGAGCAAGGTGCATATTGATGTGAAAATCTTGCCCTTTGGTACTCAAAGCTCGAGCTAGAAGTCGAGAGTATCGGTTGCCTGGGGCCACACAGAAAATTTGCGTGGTGTTCATTGTTTTTGGTGCTTGGCCTGTCTTCCTGGAACCAGTTAACAATGAGTCCCCAGGCACCAGTGTCCTAGTACTGTGGTTAAAGGAGGTGACGGTGGCATTGAGACGCATGCTTCTCTGACCACAGCCGCCAGAGTATTTGGGGGCCAACCCTGAGTCCCTCGCATGGTGGGCTCGAGTGAGCCGGCTTGCAGTCCCTCTGCTCCCACTGTATGCGCTTTTCAAAGTGCTTCTCTTCTGTGTACCTGATTTTCTTATGAGCCTTTGGTGCAAGCAGGGAGGTTAAAGGTGTTAATTCTGGTATTTCTGCACCTGTGACTTTTCTTCTGAATGGAAACATAATATTTCAAAAGTTTACAGAGATTTTCTTTTCAAAACTAGCCAACGTACTTTCAGTAACATTTTTAACAGGAGAATATAGAAGAGTCAATGGACTTCCTCCAGGCCACTAAGCGGTACCATCTAAGTAAAAGGTTTGGCCACCGGGAGTACCTGGTCCAGAACCTACAGTCCACGGAGACCCACGTGCAGGGCCTCCTGAGTGCTGCAGCCGCACAGCTGACCCACCTCATCCAGAAGCATGAGAGGTAAGCCCCATGGTCGCTGGCGACACGGCTCTGCCGAGGGTTCGTCACCCCAGTCCAGCTATTTCTGGTCACTCCTCCTTTTCACAGGCTGCTCTGGCTTCATTCTTCGAAGGGACTCCCTAGCTCCCAAGATCTCTGCACTGTCAACTTTATATCTGTGATCCCAGCCCTCAAGAGGCTGAGGCAGGAGAATCTTGATGAATGCAGGACTGGCCTGGGCTCCATAGTGAGTTCAAGGACTGAATTACACAGTGAGACCCTGTCTCAAGAACCAAACAAACAGACCAAACAAAGGCTGGCAGGCGTGGCCCGTCATCAGGACACCGTGTGCTGAGCCCCCCATGCCACCACCCAACTCCTGCAGGCCCCAACTGGCAGCCACTTACAGTGCAGCTCCACTTGTCACCCTGGACCATTTTGGAGCAATTTCCCAGCCACACTCACTGCAGAAGTCCGGGGTTGGGGAGGCTGGTGCTGACTGTGCCCAGGACTCCCGCTTCTCTGGGCTGCAGTGCACGCTGGCTGTAGCGTTTGTCTTTGGCTTTAAGTGTAAAGCTCCAGATTCTTGGCTGGGGTTTGACTGGTTTTCTTTTTTAGTCAGGACGTATTTGTGACACGTAGTAACTGCACTCATCTTGGGGAATGGTGCACGTACGTATTGCACCTTCATCATTTTTATTTCTCTTTCCCCTCCAACCCTCCTCTCTCTGCCCCATCCCAGATCTCCTTCCCACCACCACCAATTCTGCCTATTTCCCATCATCTCTTTTATTTTGCTCTTTCAATTATGTATATTTTGGGTTTCTTGTAAAACAGAAACCACGAAGCAGTTAACCCTTGGTGTCTGATTTGTGTCCTTAGCGTCACAGTCTCAGGAGACGTCCCACTCACCCTTACCCTCCCTCACGATTGCTTACGCCGTGCTTTCTTCTTCTGTTCGTCTGCTGAGGGACGTGTGGGCTGCTTGCAGGAGTCAGCTGTGATGAACTTTGCCGCTGTGAACGTGGCTGTGCATGTGTCGTTGTGCTTTGATGACTTTTAGCTGAATTTCAAGAATTTACCCAGAGGAGGCTCAGCTGGGTCACATGGAATTTCTAACTTTATTTTGTGAGAAATCTCTGTGCTGATTTCCACAGGGGTTGTACTAGTTTCATTCCCACCAACAATATAGCGGGGCGCCCCTCGTACCAGGGGTCTCAGCAGTCCAGCGATGGCAGAAAGGCAGAGTTGTCCTCCCCTCTGCCTCGGGTTTCTGCTCGGCGTCCGGTCCCTTGAGATAGCTTGCGTGTAAACAGTAGGTTACAAGAAGCTGTCAAGTGCATAGGGACCTGACCATGAAGTTGGCATTCTCAGGACAACCTGTGGCTTTATGACTTGGTTCTACAACTCACAATTTTATTAAGACTCTGCAGCTTCTTGCACTGTTGAATGAGGATTCTTTAAGGTATAAATTATGCGAACACTCCTCCACCTCGAGATGCCAGTGAAGTCACCACTGCACTTTGTGCGCCATTGCTGATTAATTTGCTCATTAAAGGAACAGTTCCTGGCTTTGAACTGAAGAAGAAGCCCACAGCTGATTGCTTGTGGTGAGCTGTTGCCAGGGAAGGCTGTCTTACCTCCTCCGTACTGCTACCCTTTCCTTCATCGGTCTACCCCTTCAGGAAGCCTCCGTGGAGAGTCCGCCCTGTGCCGAGCTGGGGACCCAGCCCAGGGGTGCAGACTGAACAAGGCTAGTTGTGGTGGCGGGAGCAGAGTACACCAGTCAGGGCTCTCAGAGAAACAGGACCATCTGGATAGCCCAAGCAGACACTGTAGGAATCGGCTCATGTCATCTTGGAGGCCGGAAGTCCCACCATTTTTTTTGTTCTCACAGCTGGAGATGCAGAGAAGCTGGGTCTAGGTCAAAGGCCTGAGAACCCAGGTAGCTGCTGATGTGAATTTCAGTCTGAGGTCAGAAGAAGCTATGAAACATCTCACTGTGAGCTGGGTGGCAGAAAGAAAGGGCCTCTCCTGCCTCTGCCATCTTGTTCCTCTCAAGAGCTCAGCACATTGGGTGGTGCCACTCAGTTAGGGTCAGTGATCTGCTTATAATGAGATGTTTTAGTCAGTTTGCTGCTGCTGTGACAGAATGCCACAGGCTGGGTAAATTATAAACTAGAGAAGTTTCTTTGGATCATGGTTCTGGAGGCTGGGAAGTCCAAGACTGAGGGCCAGATTTGCTGAGAGCCTTTTTTGTGAAACCTAATATGCCATAAGGTATCGGAGGGCAAGAGCAGAGGACTGGGAGAGGAAAGGGGGCCAGACCCCTGTGATAACAGCATTAATCGAAACTTGAGTTTTGGTCTCACTACTTAATAACTTCGCAGTGGCAGCTGAATGTCAACATGAGGCTTGGAGGGGATGTGCAGACCAGGGCTTGTGTCCCCTGGTTTGCATCCCGTGGAAATGCCATGTTATGGTCTATGTCCAGATGTCCCTCCAAGGCCTCATGCCGTCATAGGGCTTTTTCAGAGGCAGCTGAATCTAGAGTGTGTGATGCTGGGATTGAGGGCGTGTGAGTACTAAACCAGTCCACTGATTGGCTTGGCACTACCCTAATCCCTTTGTCGGGATAAAAGGAGCAGAAAGACACGGTTAAGGTTCCCTTGTTGCTTTTGCTGCCATGTGGGCTGTATGAGCTGTTTCTCCTCTGTGGTGCCCCTCTGCCATGTTCCACTCTTCCTTGGGGCCAGCCGACTGTGGGCTGAGACCTCTGCAAACTGATTAAATAAACCCTTTTCCCTTTAACTTTGGGTGTTGGGTATTTTGTCTCAGCAGTGAGAGAAAAGTAACTCGGACACATGGCACAGACATTTCCAATGATCCTGGGGTCTGGGTTGTCTCACTGAGCACCACACAGGCAAATTCTGCACTTAGCTCTGTAGCTTGCTTTGTGCCGATCCTGACACAGGAATTACCGGCCCGTCGTCTCTTGGAAAATTCCCTCTGCACTTCTTTGCTTTGCTCGGTTGTTTCTTTCCCCCAGGACTCTTACCCTGTCAGATCCTTCCGTCCTGTGTCCTCTGCCTATCTCCTAGGACACCGGCCTTACTCCGCCAGCATCTTAGTGGTGCAGTGGATGCTCCTCCTCCTCCTAGACGGTGAAGATGTTTCTGAGGCAGCCCAAACTAACGTGGACATAGATGTTCAGCCTCAGCCTCAGTCGAGCCAGGGGGGTTTGGAGCCTGCGTCCACTAACTTTTAGTTTTCTCCATCTAGGGCAGGGTACTTGGATGAAGATCAAATGGAAATGCTTCTGGAACGGGTTCAGATGGAAGTCTTTTCTATAAAACAGAAGTTGGACAATGACTTAAAGCAGGAAAAGAAAAAACTCCACCAAAAATTAATAATTAAGAGAAGACGAGAGTTGCTCCAAAAGGTATGATTACATAAGGCATTACGCTACTTCTTCTCTGGATAAGCCTTTCCCAACACCCTCTGAGTGCTGGGTTCCAAGCCACGCATGGCCGTCAGCACACTAGGACTGCAAGAGCAGCTCAGCAGACATCATGATGTTCCATCTGCAGTTGATTGCTAGTGACTTTCTGGACTGCTGCATCAAAGAGCATTTTGCAGGCTCATGGTAGATTGGTAATGTCTGCTTGAGCAAGGGAATCGAAGTCTGAGTAAAGAATGAGGATAGGAACTAACATCTATTGAGTGCTTACTCAGCACTGTGAGAGGTATCTGATGTAAGATACTTGTTTTACTCCTTACATTACCTAGTGAGGGAGAAAAAATAATAAGGACCCTGAGGCTTAGGGGATGGAAGCAATGTTGTCAAGGCCAAATGTCCACTGGCGGGCGTGGAATTTGAGCCCAGGTCTCTCTGCCTTGGGGCGAAGCCTTGTCCTTGACTTGAACTTGCTAAGCTCTGTGCAAGGAAAGACCAACAAGTGAAAATACAGACACTTCATCCTGTGCTCGGCTCTGCCATGAGCATCGTGCTGTCGAGGTGCAGGGAGGAAGAGAGTCCTGCTGGTGGAAGGTTTTCCAGAGCAGGTGCAGAGTTCTGAGAAGAGGATGCATTTGATGCTCACCAGGATGAGGAGGCAAAGCATGAAGCCCAGGGCACTGCTGTGTCCAGAGCTCCGAGCCCGTGAAGAGGCTGGAGCACGCCCAGGGCTGAGGCAGGGACCAGAGAGGAGCTGCCTGGGGGGTACCCCGAGGCGGTGAGGCCCAGCGTGCCAGGCTGAGGGCTCTGCCTTCACTGGAGGAGAGGAGGGAACAGAGATGGATTTGGGGTGCAGAAAGCAATGCCAGACTTGTGGCTTGGGGAGCTAGTGTGAGTGGTGGTTGGGTGGAGTTGGAGGAGCCTTGGGGAGACGGAGCCATGCAGGACCCAAGCACGTGGCCAGGTTGCTGCTGCTTGGAGGATGTGTAGGACATGGGAGCGATGCTGAGGTGGGCACCTTTTAACCTTGCTGGATGGACCAGTTTTTTGGAGGGAGAAGAGGGAGGCAGGATAACTTTGAGCAGTAGAAACTACTTTTTGTTATCAAGTTTGAGTCCAGTGGGAAGCCACCACTCTAACCCCAATCATGGACATGTTTCCCAAGCTGAGGGCCACCTCCTTCTCCTTCCTCTGAGCCTCTGGCTGAGGGCCCGGAATGGTGGCACCCAGGTCCACGTGTCCTTGATGGTCTGGCCCAGGAGGGATGGACTCCAGCTCTCACGAGAGATTCTGGCAACTTTCCGCGAATGCTATTTCTTGCAGTTCCTTTTGATAAATTTTGTCAGTGGCCCCGAATGAGCATAATAGCTTCCTAACCTCCAAAGTGTATCCTGTGCCCTCAACTCCGAGGATACTGCCTGACCCTTGCGGTCAATACGTATTTGTGTCAGTAAATATTTTGCCAGTGAGTGAATTGACCCTTAGGTCACCGGGACCCGTGAATGAAAGGCAGACCATTCTGTGTTCTGGTGAAATAGATCCAGGTCTGTGACGCACAGTGATAAGTGCTAGCACAGTGGACAGCTTTACGCCCGTCGCATTTTCCTACCATGGAGCCTTTTTATACCCGCTGTTCTTTCTCCCAGGAGTACCCTTCCCCACCCCTTCTTACCTCGGTTGAGATAAGAGCTCACCCTTCGGGCCTTGCCGAGTTTTTCCTTAGAAGGCACTTCCTGACCTCCTCATGCACTTGTCCCACATGCATCTCAGGGTGGCTGCTGCCCCGTGTAGAGCCACACTTAGTGGTGACTGTGAGCCTGGACGTGGCAGCGGCCACAACAGACACCCTAGCTATTACCAGCCCCGCTTTACAGAGGCACAGAGAGGCTGAGGCATGCGCTTTGGGTCACCCAGCGTGTGAATGGAGGAGCCAGGGTGGGAAGCCAGATGGTCACCCCGGGGGCGTCTTCTGCCCAATAAATGTTCCCTGAAGTCAAACATGAACATTTTACCATAGTTCATTTGATTTATTTTGTAGATTAAAGAAAAGTTTTTAGTAGTACTGGGGATTGAGCCCAGGTCTTTCGCACTGAGTCACATTCTCGGCCTTTTTCTATTATTTTCAATTTTTGAGACGGTCTCAGTAAGTCGCTAAGTTGCTTAGGCCAGGCCAGGCATGTATTTGTGATCCTCTTGCCTCATGGTGTGATTTACTTAAGTATGAGCTTTTGAGCAGGAGCCCGTTGGGGATCATCTGCGCCCAACCCACCCGCTTCCCGAATTCCCACAGCACCGGGAGCAGCGGAAAGAGCAGCTGTCCATGGCCGAGTCATGCCGAGCCACTGAGGATGCCAGCCAGTACCTGCACCGCTGGAGGAACATGGTGGCCGAGCACAGCGCCGCCCTGGAGGAGCTGCAGGAGAGCCTGGACCAGGCCGCCCTGGATGACGTCCGGGCCCTGACCCTGTTGCTGTCTGAGAAGGCCACTGAGGAGCTGCGGCGCCTGCGGAGCTCGGCCATGACGCAGGAGCTGCTCAAGCGCAGCGTACCCTGGCTCTTCCTGCAGCAGATCCTGGAGGAGCAGGCCCGGGAGCTGGCAGCCCGGACTGAGCAGCTGGAGGCTGAAGAGCGGGCACGTAGCCAGGAAGGCGTACAGGGTGTGAGGCAGAGGCTGCAGGACGATGCCCCGGAGGCTGCCGTGGAGGAGCAGGCAGAGCTGAGGCGCTGGGAGCACCTGGTCTTCACGTGAGTGGCCCTGCTGCGACCCACTGCTAGGAGACTGCGTGGGGACGGTGGCTGAGTACGAGACTCTGACTAGCAGAGTGAGGTCGCTGCTTATCTTGGTCACACAAGCTTGAAAGAGTTCACAGCAGGGTCGAGGGCAGGGCTGCACCCCATCAGAAGGGGTGGCTGGGCTCCCAGGGCAGTGCCACTCCCTGGTCTGAGAGCTCAGTTGATGGATGGGACCTTGGAGCCCACTACACAGGGAGAAGCAAGGACTGCCCCTGGTCCCTGCCGTAGGAAGTGTCATTTAGGCACTTGAAGGAGGGGAGGGGCTTTTTGCAGAGGCTGTCCCAGGCCCTCCCGTCCCACCCAGTGTCCAGGTGGCACGTGGCCCCCCGCCACAGGCTCAGTTCCTACACCACACTGCGCCCTCTTTGCACCTGGCCCTTTCATTCACCACATCATTGTTTGGGCCATTTATTTTCATCATTAATAAATCAATATAAGAACCTTGCGGTGATTTCCACTCTTGAGCAGCACCCGGTAGACCACATGTCTCAGTGATGTTCTCATCTCTGAGACCCAGTACCTGACATCCACAGCTGAAAGGAAGAGAGGTTTATTTTGACTCAGTTCCATTCCGTAGGCAGCTGGTCCCAAGGCAGAAGGCCTGGTGGATAGCTGCTCACCTCGTGGCGTCCAGGAAGTAGCGAGACAAGGGAGGAGGTGGGAAGGGAGACACAACCTAGGTCACACCCACAGTGACCACAGCTCCCCACCAGGCCCTGCCTCCTCACAGCAAGTCAGCTCCGAGCCCCAATCCATCACCTTCCAAAGCCTCCCCTCCCAGCTGTGATCACATGCGGCTTTCAGGGGATGCCAAATGTAAATCACTGCATCGCAGCTCACCCAGCACTCCTGCCGCAGTAGCTGGCAACTAACTACCAAAGGCAGGGAACGTGCGTTCAACCTGGGGGAGCTGGGGCCGCAGGAAGGATGAGCCGGATTTAGATCCCAAGGGGCTTCAGTCTGATAACCATCCACTCCTGGAGACTGAGGTTTGGCCTGGCCCAGGAAGGGAGCCTCAGTGAGTCATGTGGACCAGCAAAGTGTTAGGCGCTTGTTTGGGGTCAGCTCATCACAGCGGACACTCCAGGAGCCTCCCACATGGAGTGAGATAGAGGCAGTGTAGATGAAAGACAAGGGTTTAAATCCTAGCATCACTGCGGACGGCTCTCTGAGCCTCGTCTTTTCAGCCGGTAAAATAACGATAATGCTCAGTCAGTCAGGATGCTTCCGGCAGTGCATGGTACTATCAGGTGGATTCAGTTGTGTGTCTGTGAGAGCCTGCGATCTTGCAGGGCACCTTTGGGCGCTAGTTGGCAGAGCATCTTCCTACAAGGCCCGGGACCCAGGATCTTCCGGCTTTTCCTAGCTCCCCATATGTGCTGCCAAGAGCAATGCTAACTTGGTTTGTATTAAGTGACCACCGGCTCCTTCCCATGTCTCTTGTGCCTCTGGCCTCATTTATTTCCCACCCTAGGCTCGTTATTGCTTTCTGGACAATGGAAACAAGATGCTGTCTTTTCCAAGCCCATAAGAATCTCACGTTCCGACCTGTCCTCCATGGAATTTATTCAGCTTACTCTATATTCAACCCAAGATCTTTAGCCATTTTGGTTGGCATTGGACTCTTTGTCGCATCTGAATTCAATCTGACATTCCCATTACCGGGCGGTCATTTTCTTCAGCTTCATTTGGATCTACTTTTCAGGCAGCTTTGCCGAAACGCTGCTGGGTTAGCCATTCAGTGAGAAAAAGAGAATCTCGCTTGGTTATCAGAGACGCTTTTTGAATTTTCTCAGGGTTAAAGGGGGTCAGCCCACAGCTCCCACAGTGTGAGCTACTTAATGTGCTTTGCTTCTTTAAGACCCTGAAGGGTTGCAGCCTTTATTTCTGAGGCATTATGTAAAAATGGCCTTGTGCCAGAGTTTTGCAATGCATTTTTATAAGCTTCTCAGTGGTAATTAAGGAGCTGCAGAAACCTGGTTGGCTAAAGTACATATTAATAAGGAGGAGAATTTTTATGAGGAAAAATATCTTGAGACTCCTTTCCTGAGTTCCTGCCTGATTTTAAAGACCGTCAGGGCAAAGATTCTGCCTCCTCTATTTCTCTGTTCTCGGAGTGCCTGTGTGGCAGTGAACTAAACATGCCCAAGGGCTGATCTGCTAGAACAGTGGTGGCGAACCTATGGCACGTGTGCCACAGAGGGCCATTTGTATCATTGAAAGCTCTAAAAGGTTCGCCATCGCTGTACTAGAAAGTGGGCAAGGAGACAGACTTACGTGCCCTTCAGAGTTGCTTTCGTTTCAGAATCCATGCAACTGTCCAAGAGGCGTGGTGCAAAGGGAGGCTGCAGTTTCCAGAGATGTCGTAAACCTTGGGGTCCCTTGAGGCAGGATCTCCAAGACGGTGTCTGGTGGTATGGCCTTGGGACCTTCAGACTAGTTTTAGCTGCAAGCCTGTATCATTTCTGAGAGTCCACTTCTTTTTCCAAAACTTTCTGGCTGAGCCACAGCCCAGTGTCCCCCCTGCTTCTCCTGGCCTTGCTGAGCCTTACCCTAGCTTCTCGTGGCAGTTGTCCTACAAATATCTCTGAAGTTCAACCACCCAGAGCATCCTTTTCGCATCCTTGTGGATGGAATGACCAAGCACATCCACGTTTGTCTCCAGAGAATATTTGTTAAGTGAATGCATGGATACACACTTCTCCAAAGACAGTGGCATGGAACAGGCTTCCCCCTGCACTGCGTGCTCTGTAGCTAAGGAGGAAACCCTGGCCAGAACTGGGGCCTGGGCAGGAAACGAGAGCAGGTAGGCATTCTGCCCCTTGGAGTGGGCGGTGGGCCGTGCCAGGAAGGAAGACGAACTTACGAACTAAGGCAGCTTATGAACGGTGAAATTCCAGCTTCCCCACCCCGGCCCAGCCAGTGCAGGTTTCCCCCTAATGGAGCTGTGTAAGTGTGGGTGGGCAGGGGTTCACGGTGACATAGGTGAGGGCCTCTGATTCTGAGTGCTGCCGTAACCGAGCACCACAAATTAGGTCGTGTGAGCCACAGACATGTATTCGCTTGTGGTGCTGGTGGCCAGAAATCCGAGGTGCAGGGCTGTGTGGCCTGGAACGCTCCAGGGGAGGAGAGCCTGCCCCCTGCCTTCCTCTTGCCTCCGGGGCTGTAGGCAGTGGTTGGCATTTCTTGGCTGGTTGACTCATCGCTCTGTTTTGGCCTCGGTGGGTGCATGGCCTTCACACTGGGCCTTTGTCTCTTCTGAGCTCGGAAGGACACCTGTCATACAAGGCGAGGGTCCTGCTCTACCCTGGCATGACCTTCTCTTCCCTGCTTAATTCCAGCCGGAAAGACACTGCTTCCAAATGAGACCACATCAACACAAAGCAGGGGGAGGACTCGGGGATCCAGTCCAACCCATAGCAGCACATGGTCCTGCAGGCTTCCTGTGTGGAGCAGGCTTTTGCTTGAGGGCCAGTTGCCAGTCACCCTTAAGACCTGAAGCCAAAGGCCCCTTTGCGGACTCTGAGCCAAGGCGAGGGCTGCTCCCTGGGCTGGGTGCACACTGCGTCCTTGTCGCTACAGTAAGAATAGGTCACCTCAAGGTCGTGAACCTGGGAACGCCTGCTGCCTCTCAGAGCCCCGTGGCATCGTCTCATTCACCTCTGCATCTCAGCTCTCATGAGATACGCATCCGGCACGGTGCGCAGCAGCCCCTCAACCTGCTCATGGGATGAGCCACAGACAGGGAGCTGCTGCTTTAGTGTCTGGACAGGGCTTTAGCTTATGAACGCTGAAGTTCCAGCTTCTTCACCACGGCCCAGCCAGCGCAGGCTTCCCCCTGACGGAAGCCGTTCCCTCCTTTCCCAGGAAGCTCTGCAGTGCCACCTTCTCACTGTCCGAGGAGGAGCTGCTGGCCCTGACGCAGGAGGTCCATGGCTGCTTCACCCAGATGGACCGGAGCCTGGCCCTCCCCAAGGTGCGGGCCCGCGTCCTGCTGCAGCAGTTCCAGTCTGCCTGGCGGGAGGCCGAGCTCTTGAAGCTGAACCAGGCGCTGGCTGCCCCGGAGCTGCAGGTAGGAGGGATGCCTTGTGTTGTCCCCAGCTCCCGACCCTGCCGTGGGATCCTGCGTCCCCACCCTCCCTGAGCACGCTCATCTCCTCATCCCCTTCCCCTCCTCTGCAGCCACCTTGTCCTGGCTGTAGAGTGTGGCTTACACTTCCGGGGTGGTGTCTGGTGCCCTCACCCAGGCTGTGCTGTGTCCACCCACAGCTCTGAACCTCCGCTGCATGCCGGTCACCGCCTTGTTTTGTGCCCTTCTGCAAGAGCCACCTGGCCTGAAACATCAGTTTCCCTTGTGCGCTTACCCTCAGCCACAGCTGGTGACTGATTTGGGGTTCAGAGGCCTCCTAAATGGCACAGAAGATGGGTGCTCCTTTGGCCCAGGAGAGCAGGAAAGGGCATCTCTCGCACTGGGTCTCAAAGAACGACAGCTGGCTTCAGTGAGCCCCTGCTAGTGGCCATGATGCACGCGACTTTGTGGTGCATTTGTCCTCCAGAGCCCCACAGACCGGTCTAGACTGACTTTGACCCAAGACCCAGCCCTGCTTGGGCCCGTGGTTTCCTGGCCTGGTCCCTGTTCCTCAGAGAACATAGTCTTCTCTTAGGAAGCCACGTGCAGCTCTGGGCTCAGGCTCTGCTTGCGGCGAACTGGACCTGGGATTGTAGCGCCTTTGAGCTTGCTGCTTCCCTGGCCAGCGTGATCTGTAGCCTTCAGAAGGCTCCACTCAGTGTCCTGGCTGCAGGGAAGCCCTGCTCGAGCGTCCCTCTAAAGTAATCCTCCCCCCGGCCACCTCTCTGTCCCAGGGTCCGAAGCATCTTGCATCTCGTCCCAGGAGGATCCACACCCTTCCGGGCCTGAGGCAGAGTTTTGTAGTTCTCTGAGCCTTGGCCCCGGTGACCCCCGGGGCTGTGTGAACTTGTGGGGGCCGCTTTCTTACCAGTGTTTGCTCTGGCTCCTCTCTTCCCATAGTCTAAGGCCAGAAAGCCAAGGTCCAAGAGTAAAAGCAAGGTGGACCTTCTGATAAAGTGCACCGAAGACAAGATCCGCCTCTTCGAGGAACAGCCTCCTGCAGACCTGGCAGAAAAGGTGGGTGCCTCTGTGTCATTACAGGCTTCTCTGCACCCAGCAGGTCCGACAGTGACTGTTCTCAGGTGCACAGAGCTTCCAAAGCACTGCACCCCAAAACCTATGATTCCCTCCTCCCCACATCTCCTCTACCTCGCTGTCTGGTGATGTTAGGTGAGTGGGTGACTCACATGTGCTTGTGAGTGCTGTTTTGGCTCCTACCTTCTGCCCTTGGCCTAATGGCTTTTAAAAAAATTTAAACTTTATATTTTTAATGTAAATATATTTTTCAGAACACAAAGGCATGGTAAACTGTTCTAGAATTGGCTCTGGGCAAAGGCAGTGTCCCTTTTCAAGTGTGTTGTGTTTGGTGTCTTAAAGTAGGGGTCCTGAGAACCCCAGGCCAGAATCCATGGCCTTTATGAACTGAGCCACACAGACTAGATTCTCATAGGAGCTTGAACCCCACTGGGAACTGCACATGCTCGGGGTCTAGGTTGTGGGCTCTTTTGAATAAATCCCAAACCACCACTCAGTGAAAAAAATTATCTTCCATGAAACCTGTCCCTGGTACCAGAAACTTTGGGAACCACTGTCTTAAGGGACCCAAGTAGCACACCTGTTCCTACCTAGGCTTTGAATAAGAGTGAGGACCCACAAAGACGGCACATGCTGCTTCTCTGCACCAGCCCCGAGAGCTGGTTCTTGTCACCCTCTAAGGTTCAGGTGGGTCCAGAAAGTGGAAGTGACTGTCAGGTCCTTACGGGGTCAAGCTGCAGCCTGAATGAAACAGGCTCTGTCGCCTGATCCCAGCATCATCAGGAGCCCTTGGGGTGCACAGCCTGCTTCTGTGGGTGAGGAACAGAAGTGGAGCTGCCACAGGACGCCAGAGAAGAGCTGTGCTCCCCAGATGCCCTGTTTGTCACCCAGAGGGGAGGAAGGGATAGACCAAGAAGTAAGAGCAGGTTGGATTGGCGGAAGAGCCTTTCCTCTGTCACCTGATCGTTTGGGACCCTCTGCCATGCAGAGTTTGGGGGGACACAGTGTTGGCCTAGAGGAGCCTGGGCCCCAGGGGGACGTTCTCATGTGCAAGGCCAAGGAGGAGGAGGGTGCGCTGGCCCACACAGCTGAAGGAAGAGTCAGGAAGGAGGGCCCGGCTGTGGAGAAAGCAGGTGCCTCACAGCTCCAGGTGGACCTCAGAGTCCACCTTGACCACCCCAGCCCTGTCTAGCACCTGTCTCTACTCTTCTCTGGTTATCCTCCCTCCCTCCCTCCCTCCCTTTCCCCCTTCTGTCCTACTGAGGCTTGAAACCATGGTCTTTATACTGAGCTACATTCCCAGCCCTTTTTACTTTTTTGAGATGTGGTCTTTCCAAGTTGTTAAGTTGCCTTGGCTGGGCTCCAACTTGTGATCCTTCTGCCTCAGCCTCCCAGAGTGATTTTCTCTACTCTGTGTCTTCCTCGCATCCCCACCAGTGTTCAGCACTATTTTTAGCCTTGTTATATGTAGCGGGCTGCTAAATTCCCTCTCGCTTCCAATTGATTCTCTATGACGCAGGAACATCCTCTTCCTGTAGTGCCTGTCATGTCCTGGGCCACTGTAGCAGGAGGGCACTGGAGTGGCCAGGGTGTGTTGTCCGTGCTGTGGCTCAAAGCCTAGGTCCTTTCAGAGCCTTACCCTAACCTGCTCATCACACCCTCACAGACAGGCACGTTCAACCTAGGAAGCTCCCATGAGGCAGTGGGAGCAAATGCAGAGGGGAGAGGATGGGAGAGCAAGGAGAGCAGGCTGGGTGGACAGAAGAAGAGAGATGGATGACCAGCCTCCCGGGGGCCTCTCCACGGGGTGTGCAAGGGCTTGGGGCTCCCTGGCCACCTGGTAGTGCCCCTTGTCCAAGGCCCCACTGGTTTACGGGTGAGGCGAGCCTTGGTCTACACCACGGCCCCAGCACAAGCCCACCCTCCTCATGGCCCTGTGCTGAGGACACCGCTGTCCACTCTGGTACCGGAAGTGGCCAGCCTCTGCTCCTCAGGGCTTTTCCAAGGTGGTTAGACTTCATTTTGTCCCATACGGTGGTCTAAGAACTCTTCTCTCTTCGTCTTCCAATGTGACTGCATTTAATAGGAGCAGTCCCTGCTTATTTGCTTTCGTGTAGCCGTGGCTTTCCAGATGCCCCACCAAACTGTACGTCGAGCTGTCCCTCCGTGTCTGTGAGGACGTGGTCCCAGTCCCCGTGGTTACTATGGTCCAAGAGCCTCGAGTCCCTTATGTGCCACTGCATGGTGTCTGCGTGTCACTTACAGGCATCTTCCTCAATACTTTAAATCCTCCTCAAACTCCTTACGGCCAACGCGGTACAAATACAATGTAAACTGTCATTCTCTGTCGCTCAGGAGATGGTGACAAGAACAAAGCCTGTGCCTGCTCAGTACGGACACGGGATGTTTGTGAACATTTAGGTCCTTAGCCGGCTGAATCTGCATGTGGAAGGTGCAGAGCAGGAGCCACTGTATATCATATTTATGAGGGCGTTCGCTGAGCCTCTGGTCTGCTCCTTTAATCATCACACAGCTGGGGAGAGGCGTCCGGCAGCTCTCAGTTCACCCCGAGAGGTGAAGCTCTAGGGTCACACCGCTGCCCACCTTCTCACCACCGTGCTGGCCCACCTTCTTCCTGATGTGCTTAAACCCTCCCAACTTCCCCACAAAGTGAGAACAGCCCCCTTCCCCACTTTACAGACAGGGAAACGGTCTCGGGGGTGAGGGAGCGCACTCAGGCCCTGGCAGCCGGACATGGCAGATCCAGCACCCAGCCCTAGCTCTGTCTGTTCTTCCTCCCCACTGGGTGGAGCACTTCCCACAGTGGCACAGTGTGGAATGAGCATGCCTCAGCTTTTCTTCGTCCACAAGGCCCCGACAGTGACAATGACAGTGGTGACCCATGGTCACAGACCTGGTGAGCGGGGCAGCAGCAGGCAGAGAGTTTTAACCACAGAGTGGCAGCGTGCTGTTCTCTTCCGGTAACAGAGCCACTCCCTGTGCTGCCTGATGCAAGCTCCGCAGAGAAAGTGGCTCGAGGCATCGAGCTGTGACCTTTGAGTGTCGGGCCGTCCTTACAGTCGGCCACTTACTCTGGCAGGTGCCCACAGTGTAGGCGCTCTTCGGCCTACCCCTTTGATGCTGCTCCCGACATGGATTGGTGGCAGCTCTTACACTCTGGTGGCTTGGCCCAGGTTTCATTTGCAAGCTAATTGCAGAGGCAGGTGACGGCACTCACTCTGTGAGGACTGGCAGCTCACTGTGGTACCCAGGGGCCTCTGGAGAAAGGGACAATCAAAAATATGTTCAACATTCACCTTAAATAAATTTATGGCTGTGAATCCCCCTCACTTCGAACACTTGTCCCGTGGTTCTTGCCACTTTCTGAAGCAGCTCTGGAGTCCTCTTTAATGAGTGTCTTTAGGACATGAGCAGCATGGTGAATGCTGCTGCCCAGGGCCATTCAAGGGAGAGCCAGGCCTGTAAAAACACAACGCTGTGTCCTCATCCACCCGATCTGGCACCGTGTGACTCCTGGCTGTTCCCCAAAGTCAAGATGACCACGAAAGGGAAATGTTTTGAATCGATTCAGGACCTCAAGACAGCCTCAACACCAGAACTAAAGACACTCACAAGAGAGGACTCCAGAGAGCAGATCCCCTGTCACCTGCTGGAGGAGGAAGGGACAGTGATCTGCTGGGCAGAGGTTGGGTGGGGGAGTTCTGGGTACTGCTGCTTAACGAGATGTTCACCCTTTCTTATCCTCATGTCTAGATGTATCTGAGGCCTACGTTTTCTGAGACTTGAGGGACCCTGATATTTAATTGTCTCCTATTGCTTTATTGTTTTCTTTTCATAGACAAACTCAAACTCAGGCTAGCCAGGGTTGCCTCTGTGGAAAAGATAACAGACCAACCTCAAACGAAATATAAAACCAACCGTGCTGAGTGCTGAGTGGTGTGGGATATTCGCACTTTGGTCTTGTAGATGGTGGGAGTAGGCAGGAGTGTCTTTTGAGGCACACAAATAAATGTTTCTATCTTGAATATCGATGCACTAATGATGCTTCTTGGCCAGGGAGGCATTTCATTCAACAGATACTAATTTGACAAACCTCTGCCGGGTTCACTTTCCTCCTGATGCGTCACGGTGGAGGCAGTCTTCTATACTTTGCGGCCTTCTCCTTTGCTGGGCATCTTAATCCATCCAGCAGAACAGGACCAGACCTACAGTGGGAGCCCTCGGAGCACAGTTTAGAGTTCCCTCTGCCTTCCTCTCTCCGCGTTAGGGTAGAAGAGTCAGAGAGTCTCTGTTGGCCTCTTCCCAGAAAGAACAGCCCTGAGGGGCCATCCTACTGGCTTCCATCACTTGTGCACATTTCTTCAAGGAGGTGTGATGTGGTTGGTGGGATTAAAGAAGGAATAAACACGGAGAGGTGGTAGGAAGTAGGGAGGCAGCCTTACTTTGGAAATGGGGAGGGGATCAAGGAATAGGGAGGATAAAGGGAGTCAAAACCATCAAGGATATAGGTATATGTTTTCCTCCGAAATGAATGTGTTAATTTGTTATTCTGCATTATGTATCACAAACATACCAACAAAAGAACAGGGCAGACCCTACTCTGCTCCCTCCTGTCACTGGGAGTCCCCATTCTCCTCTATTTGGTGGTGAACTTGGCAGAGACCTGCAGTTTAGAGGAGGGTGAGCTGGTTTGGACACTCAGCCTTATCCTCCAGTCTCATTGTCAACAGTGTTCAAGCTGACATTTGGTGTCTGTCTGGCTTAGCTTTGTGTCTAGCTGTGTTTGGACAAGAAAGAGGACCACGGTTAATCGAGCTCCTTAGAATTCCTAGAAGCCTGCAGGTTGGCAAAGGTTGGTTCTCTTGTACGCTGCATAGAAAGAACTCTTCCTTGGAATGCCGCGAGTTGTCAGGGAAAACTAGTAAGGATGCTGTTTGAACTTCCCATTTAAAATAAGAGCA